AATGAAAAACACATGGATGTTTCATTACCAGACTTATTTAGGGAAAGAGCCATTAGTCTTGCAGCTGCACATTCTGGGAAAAAGGAGTTCAAACAACTCACAGAGACCCCACCCTAATGAATTCACTCATAAATGGGGGGAAGTTCCTTATTCCATTTCTAAGATTCTGCATCCTAACCCCTCCTTTTCCAAAATCTAAATCTCGCCCTCTAACATAGAGGTTCTCAAACTGGGGGTAATTTGGGCATATCCTGGGGTAATTGCTGGTTTGTGAGATGAGGGTCTGGTTTGGAGTCAGGAGTCTACCACTCCTGAGGTGCTTGTATAAAACAACAGAATCTGGTTTTTGGGGGGACTGTGTAATAACATTATTCGAGAGCAGAAAAGGGGTAATTGGGTCAAACGGTTTAAGGACCACGCTCTAACAAAACAGCATATTTGGTTCCCTGAGGGCTAGCCCTTTTGTAACTAAAACAGGATAATTGCTTCAGAAGAGCAAAACATTTTCTACGGGGAAAAATAATTTTTGGAAGGATACCTCCCCACTTCAAAAAGAAAAGAGAAGAAAGAAGAAATAGCCTTCTACTCTAGCATTTTGATGCAAATGCTTCTATAGTTTCTAACTACAGCTATTTTGTTCCGACGTTAAATTAAGCAAAAGTAAGGCCGGAGGTTTTACCACTATAAAGAAAAGTGATTTTGAGGAGCCGTCCCTGCCCCTTCCATTTTCCAAGATGGCCGGTCGCCTACACAACGGTTCTTTGCTGTGTACAGCAATATCTCAAGTGAGAGCAAATATTTCGAATCTAGTCATCCAAGGAATGAATAGAATGTCTGATTTTGCTTTCTAAAATTCCCTTCCACCCTTTACAGAGAATGGGATTAAATGCCCAAGTCATGCTAGTTCATTACTTTCTCTGGAAGGACCAGAAATGGATGAAGCTGAACAAAATGAGGTAGGTGATGTTTTGATGCATTCATTGTGCAAGGCCAGAGAGAAAACCTATTCTCTGATGACCCTCTGTACCAGGGACTTTTCTGGTATCTGTTTTGTAAATATGCAGTAATTTGGTGGTGGGATGTTGCTTGTGATGTTCCAAGTTCAAAATGACTGGTTTGAGTGGTCTCAGCTCAGAAACACCTGATGATCTTGAATTTTTTCAGAATTAGGGACAAAATGGAGCATTTTATTCCACCTTCAAAAGCAATGGATATTGTGTGTGTGTGTGTGTGTGTGAGAGAGAGAGAGAGAGAGAATCACACACATATATACAGAGCAAAGAGAGGAAGCAGCAGCTATTTGCAGCATTGCATCTATAGACATTGTAAATAATTGTTTTAAAAAGCATGCTCCTGGCTAATTTTTCTCTAAGATGGGCAGCAGGTAGCACTCAGACCCCACCTACCTATGTGATTCTAGGATGAAAAGCAAGTGAGCAAGGGCTTGTTTCATTGTTTCCACTTATGAAATATTGGGAAAGTTTCAAGTTTTGTTCTGTAAAAATTATGCCACCTTGAAATGTTTAAGTTAAACTGCTTTGTTCCAAGCTTAGCACAAAACAATTTTATTTCGTTCCATTTTTATTCCTTTCTATGTGTATAAAATCCTTTAACTTCTATATCTTAGAAGTATAGTAAACTAACTTTTTTTCTTTTCTTGCACTCTTTGCTTTCTCTTTAATTTCTTTTTCTCTTTTCTTCTTTATATTAATTTGTATTAGTTTTTATCTTCTTTTTTAAAAGTTTTAATAAAAAAATATATAAATATATATACATAACAAAAACAGAAATGTATAGTAAAGTGATGACTTCTTACTACACTTAGTTTCCTTTCTAAAAGATCTTTTACTTTTCACATTTAAGTTTTTTATATGAATTCATTCCTTATTTGAACAAAATACACATGACTCAGGACTTTTTCTTATACTGAAGAGTCAAGCCACCTAATCCTTACTTACAAACATACTGTAATATGTATCTTTTCCAGTTTTCAAATGCAGTAAAAATGTTGCTGGTTTTGTTAGGGTTCTTTTTAAAACTTCAAGACTAGCTGCACAAACTTGTGATATGAATCACAGCAAGGACATACAATCACAGGTTCGGAATTGGTTCCACTGCGTTCATCAGTTTTTACTCCTTGCTGAATCTGGCTAAGATTGCAGCCTAGGTCAATCTAGTTCCCTAGTGATTAAATTTGTAACCTGATACATACTTATTAGAAGACCATTATTTAACTGATGTTGGCTTGGTGTTCTGATAGACATAATCTCAGACACGTAGATTTTAAAAGGTGGTTCTAAGAAATACATCCTTTTAACAATAATGGAACTCACTTCAAATAAGCAGCCATGCTTTGTAAAGCTATCGTCTGACACGGTTACCTGTGTAAGCAAGCCACATTGGACTCCTTTTGGGGTAGGTACATGTAGAAATGCACAGTAAAGGATTCTGATAAGGTAGGTGTTTCCTAGTGGACTGAACAGAATTGATTGAAATGTTCTTTTTCTTTCTTTCTTGTAGTCAAGTCTTGTGAAGGGATGTAGACCTAACCTTGAGAAGAGGGAAGGAATGAGACAGCCATGAAGTGGGATTTTGTGGAAAGTTGACTCAATCCTGAGAAAGAGGAGAGCATGAAAAACAAACTGAAAACAACCCTGCCTTGATTTTGTTTCTCCAAGAGAGAAACATGGAGAGGCATTCAAGATTAATGTCAACCCTTTGAGGCAGACATGGTCAAGAAACAAGCATGGCAAGGATTCCTGGAAAACACTTCATTGGATTGATTGATTGTTTCTGTGCCATCAAGTTGATGTCAACTCCTAGCAAGCACACAGATAGGTTTTCTCCTGGAGAATCTGAATCCCCAATTGGTCCTTGAGGTCTTCCAACAGTGCACTCATCACTACTGTAACTGAGTCCATCTCCCTTGCTGCTGGTTGTCCTCTTCTTCTCTTTCCTTCTACCTTTCCCAGCATCAGAGCCTTCTCCGTAGAGTGAGGTCTTAGCATCAGGTGTCCAAAAGTAGGATGACTTGAGCCTGGTTCTTTGTGCTTCGAGTGAAATCTCTGGGTTAATTTCCTCAATGATCCTTTGGTTTGCTCTCTGGGCTGTCCATGGTATTCTCAGGCATGTTCTCCAATTACCAAAGTTCAAAAGCGTACTTGGTTGTATAAGGTAGAATAATAGAATCTTGAAAGCCTCTCCACGTTTCTCTGTGCCCCATCAAACAAAATTAAGGTGGAGTTGTTGGAGTTTCTTTTTTGGGACCGAGTAGTCTCTTCACAACATCTCCTCTTAATGGGTCCCTCGTTCCTTCCCCATTCTCAAGGTGAGCTCTACATTCCTTCACAGATTTGACCAAGTTAAGGGATGGCTCTATCCTTGTTTTTAGGGACCGATGAGCCTCCAAGAGACAGGTGCCCCTTTGCAGTCAGCGGAGCAGAGTCTGATCCAACCAGGTCAGCGGACCATGTTCTGGCAAGTCCTGCAGGAGGAGAACGGCAACACAGATTGTTTGGGTAGGTGCTTGTGAGCACGTTGAACATCAGCACAAGTGGATGCATTCTTGGACCCAGGGAAGACACATCCTCTCTCAGATTCTAGTCCTTCCTATTTTGGACGGAGCAGGCCACAGATGGGTTGGAGGCATATTTTTCCCTACATTTTGAGGTGTGAGCAGTCTGAAAGAAGTTCCTCCTGCCTTAGACAAGGGATGGGCAACTTTCCCAAAGTTGGGGGCCGTAACTACCACCATCCCAAAATAATCCTTAGGGTTCTTACATGGAGGCTAGCTTCAACCTTACTGGTTTTTACCTGGTAGTGCAGTATCTCAGGTATGGATGGGGCTGTTTGTTTGTTTATATTTACTTATGTGTATTTATTAGATCTATTAATTCATCTATTAAATTAGATCTAATGGATGAATTATTTAGATAGATTTATTTAATTAGATTTATCATAGTTAATCCTCCCTGTACTCTCACTGACTCAGATTGTGGACAAATAACATTTTACAGGTAGTCCTCGGTTAACAACTGCCCATTTGAAGTTATGATGACACTGAAAAAGTATATTTACAACTGGTCCTCGAACTTACGATCGTTGCAGCGTCCCCGCAGTGATCAAAATTTGGGTGCTTTGTAACTGGCATGCATTTATGACTGTCACAGTGTCCCACAGTCATGGGATCGCCATTTGTGAGCTTCACAGCCAGCTTCTGACAAGCAAAGTCAATGGAGAAGCCAGCAGTGAAATTACAAATCATGGTCATGTGATGTCTCACTTAATGACTGTGGGGAAAAGTGATGTTGTAAGTCTGGTGTGGTCTTAAGTGATTAAGTGATGTCTCACTTAACAACCGCATCACTTAGCGATGGAGTTGCCAGTCCCAATTGTGGTTGTTAAGTGAGGACTACCTGTATTTAACAAAGACATGTCAGACAGTATAGGATATACATTGTTTCCACTTAGAGATCCATCCAGAAAGCCCTCTCCTTACTTACCGAATAAGTTTATTTTATCACAGTGGTTAAATGGTGCGGCTTTTGCCTTTTATGTACTGCCTCCCTTTCCCTTCTCTTCCTTCTAACAATTTTCTCATCCCTAAATTCTCCAGGCTTTCTGCCCATCTTCTTTGAAATGAAGTGCCCAATTAGCCATTTATTTGCATTCTGGTAATGCAATCATCTATTGTTTCACCCCATAGACCTTCTGATATGCAATTCTACCTCTCTCTAGGCTCATTCATGCCTAATTTGGGATTTTCCAACAACCATTTACAAATCACTATTATAGGCACATTATATTTAAAGTAACATGTTAAAGATCCTAGTGCAGAAGAATTCAGAAGGGATCAGAGCTGTGGCCTCATACCTAGATGTCAGAATAAGTTTTAGTGAAGTTGTGCAGTCTTCACCGCTGCCCATGTTAGCCAGCGCGATGTGAATTATGCTCCAGGAATATCTGGAAGGTTGAACGTTTCAGATGTTTTTGGAATCCAGTAGATGGTAATTGCAGACTTAATTAAATTCCTCCAGGTATGACTATATGATTTGATATCTTAGTCTATGCAAGCCATTCAGTTCACCTTTCTTAGGAGCAGAACTCGCATTGTCTTGCAACATGTTGTTTCCTCCTTTTTAAGCACAGGGTCTTTTTAGAGACAGGAGACAAAGGTGTTCAGCAGAAGGGAAGAGGAGTGCAAAAGAGGTGACGGAACTCACAAAAGTGATCAGAACTTAAGACTAAGATATCCTCTTTCTTGTCCCTTCAGGTGGCAAGAACAGAAACTGGATCAAAATGGAAACTTCTTTGTATGGAGGAGATGAACCAGAGGAGACATCCGGGACAGGGGAGAATGTGTCAGTGGAAGATGAAATGCAGGAGGAGAGATGTGAGTCAAACAGGGGGTAGGGAAGGGAGCTTCTAGAAGCTCAGGATAAATCCAGCAAGTCTCAGAAAACCTTGGAGCTGTTTGTAATGGGAAATCAGTAGTGTTCTCAAAGAAGACAATTGCCTTGTTTTCCAAGTATGGTAGAAGAGACTGTTACTAACCAGGAGTTACCACTGAACATGATGGAGAAGACCAATCTGATCATCTTAGAGTCAAGGACACTCTCCTTCAAAGTTCAGACTGCCAGCAAAGAGATTCAGGAGAAAAATTGCGGAAATGTTCTGAAATCAATAACAACTTCCAGCAGAAATAAGAACAGAGCCATTGCATAGGAGAAAAAGCTTACAGTTGTCCCGAATGGGGGAAAACCTTTGTGTGGAGGTCATACTTAAGGATCCATCTGCAGATGCATGCAATGGAGAAACCTGCTGGCTGGGGAATTCTGGGAGTTGAAGTCCACACATCTTAAAGTTGATAAGATTGAGAAACCCTGGAGTAGACAGTTGGTCTTAGCTAGGGTGTAAACCACTTTTAAACTATGCTTTTCTTCAGAAGCATTTTAGAACTCAAGATAAGAAGTTGCACCTGGTTGATCTCTGTCAGCTGTTCTGGACTAAATCATCCCTCACTACTGTCCATAATGGTTAAAGAAAGTGAGCATTGCATCCTGCTAACATTTTAAGATTCAAGGTGGGGAAACTAAGAAGCCCAACTGGGCATCTGACTGACTGCAGCTCTTCACGTTTTAGTTGGAAAGCCACAATGATTTTCTATCTAAACATCCATGAACAGGCTTTTGGGTGGTTCATTTTGTCTTCTGCTGAGTAACTGTGTTTATTAAAGGACATCCCACAGTGTGATGGGAGATAGATTTTTGTTAAAGGGTGTATCGCTTTGGACATCTGTGCTATTCCAAAACATTATATTCTATAAAAAAATACCTTCTTAGAAAGAATCCAGCTGGGCCTCACAGCAGATATATGATGTATAGTTCCCATACAATTTAATGAAGCTTGCTAGAAAAAATGTTTGCAGTCTGTTTTCTCCCTAAGGCCCTGCTATTTCTGTAAGGATCCTAAAACCTTTGAGATGACCCTTTTCTTGTTGATAATCAATCCAAGCAGACATCTTGCAGGATGAAAGCTAGAAAACCTGCAGTTCAGCCCTCCAGATATCTCCTTTCTTCATTCTTGAGTAGCTGAAATCAATTAAATTCTGACCCCACCTCCCACCCTCACCACCCCACAAGCCCCTTCGCCTTGTTGGTGCCATTTACACAAGGTACAAAATCCATCTTTTCCAGAAAGAGAATCTGGTTTGTGTTGGCATGTCGTTTTTTGTTTGTTTGCTTAGGATTGGGTGACTCTGGGCACAGGAGAAAAAAAGAGAGAGATGAGTTTATCCCTGATGTCACAGATTGCGTGGCTGAAGGAAAATTTTCCCAGGGAAATGTTCTGTGATCCAAAGGGAGCCAGGCTGTAGACAAACATTCCTCTTTCTTTCTTTCTTCTTCCTTCAGGTGACGGGAGAGGTTGGATCAAGATGGAAAATTCTCAGCTGGGGGAGATTGTGCTGGAGGAAATGCCCAGGACTTTAGCAGACAATTCACAGTGGACTATTCCTGCCACCTCTAATATTCATGGACCGAGATGGGAATCTCAAGGGAAGCAAGGGAACAAGACGTCAACGAAAGGGAAGAATGAGTGGCGTGAACTCTCAGATGATCTTACAACAGCCGTTGAGAAGAACCACACCGTGCAGGCAGAAGGGGGAAAGGGCGTGCTGTCGAAGCATGGAAGGAATTACCACTACAGATCGGGACTTGCTGAGATGCAAGAGAAGCCCTCCACATGTTACTTGGATAAACATCAGGGGACCCCTACAGCTGAGCCCCAAGCTGAACTCTTGGAGGCGAGGAAAGATTTCCACCTGGCAGACGATTCAACGGGATGCCTGAAAAGCCCCCCAGACGAGGAACCTCGCAAGTGCCCAGAGGATGGGAAAAACGGTAGCAGCAAGAAGGCTGTGAAGAGAGATCAAGGCATTCAGACGGAAGGGAGGCGGTATCAGTGCGCCCAGTGTGGAAAGTTCTTCCGACACAGGCAAACATTGACAAAACACCAGAAGATTCATACGGGTGAGAAACTGCACGAATGCCTCGCCTGCGGGAAAGGGTTCACGTCGAGGGAGCCTCTGCTGAGACATCAGCGGATCCACACGGGAGAGAAACCCTACGAATGCTCCCAGTGCGGGAAATGTTTTCGGCAGAGAGTACACTTGATGTGTCATCAAAAAACCCACACAGGGGAAAAACCCTTCAAGTGCCCCGAATGTGGGAGAAATTTCTCTCGGAGGGATAAATTGATCAGGCATCAGCGAATTCACAGAGGCCAGAGGCCTTACGTACACTCTGAATATGGGAAGAGTTTTGATCAGAAGGCAGCACTGCTCAAACATCAGAGTCTCTATGAAGGCCACTGATAGACTTTCGGCTTCATCTTTCTGCAATCTATTTTACTAGAGGGTCTTACTCATATGCTCCTCCAAAGGCCTGCCAGGGTTAGATCAGGTTACTACAGAAAAACCAAAAGGAAAAAAACAACTTCAAGTTATGAATCTTTAGAGGATTGTCTCAGATGCAACACAGAACTTGCCTTGCACGATATTATGTGAATGGCTCGGTTCTTTGCATCCTGCTTTTAAAAGCAGCCTTCCGTGACCTCCAAACCAGACTGCAAATCCCATCATCCTCAGCCAGCCTTTCCCATGTTGAGTATTGGAATCCAACCCCTCTGAAGGACCCCAGATTAGGGAGGACTGAAAGGAAGGAGAATAATAAAAGCCATTCGGATTCTATAGATTACAACAGGGCCTTTCCCCCTCTCTGTGGTAGGAATAATGGGGTTAAAAACGTGGAGGGTTCACAAGAAAACCCTGTACAGAAAGTGAGAAGAGATCAGTGCAAAAATGAAAGAAGATGCAGAGGTTTGATGGGGTAGGATGCTCTTTGGGGCCGAGGCTATATTTTCAAAAGGTGCGCCAAGATTGGAAAAATGGGTGGGTGCAGAATTTAGCAAAAGCAGAGAGGGGTCACTAAAAACAAACTGTAAACTTGGAAAATGAACAATTTCAATCATCTGACTTGTGAACCCCTGTTTGCTAAGTGATGCTTTTGAAAGTCAAGCAGTGAATTTGTGTGAAAAGATTCTTTAATCCAGTGTTTCTCAACCTTGGCAACTTTAAGATATGTGGACAACTCCCAGAATTCCCCAGCCAGCATAGGGGAATTCTGGGAGTTGACATCCACATATCTTAAAGTTGCCAAGGTTGAGAAACACTGCTCTGGATCAAATGAGCCAGTTTAGTCCTTTGCGTTACACTATTCTTGTCATTTTTGGGGACAAATGGGATAGAAGTGGTTTGCATTGCCTGGATGTGTGTGTGTGCGTGGTGTTGTTTTTATTTCACTTCCCAGCCTAGCCTACAACTGTAGGATTTCCTTTTGGTCTCCCATCCAAGGACTCACCAGAATTGACCCTGTTTAGAAAATAAGCCTCTATGGAAGCAAATAGCAGCTTCGGTCCAGTCTTGCTGTGTAACAAACAGGGGGAGGACTCATGGATGTCCCTTGGTGGGGGGAAGCAGTCCAGGCATTGGGGAATGTTTTCAAAGCGAGTTTGCTCTGAATTTCTCCTGGAGAGAGAAGTGGATCAGACGGCAGAGAAGATTTGGCTTAAATATCCAGATTGGATGAAAACATATATGAAATGTGTTAAATGGCTTTGTGGCTGATCACCGTAAGATATGTCCGAGGCTGGAGACTTGCTAATAAGCTGTGGCCGCATAAATCAGATATGCCATTTCTTGAGGATTGCACCAGACCTATTCCAGCAGTGGCTGGAATCATTTGGGGAGGGATGCGTCTGAGAGTTTTAGAGAGTGAAATGAGTGCCTTGAACACTGCAAGACTGAAGACACATCCTTTTTCCTTCAATCCCCTCAAAATGCAAAAAAAAAAAAAAAATCCCAATTTTTCAGGCCGACCCACTCTGGGATGACTTTGGGGAACTATAAAAGGGGTGCGAGAAGACTGAACTTTTTCCATCTTTGCATAAATACTGGAAGCGGGGGTGGGAAGCTTTAGACAGGTGCTTAGAAACAGAGGTGTACAGGTAGTCCTCATTTAGCGACCACAATTGGGACCAGCAACTGGGTTGTTAAATGAAGTGGTCACTGAAACTGCGACTGCTTACTTCAGCTTTCCTTTGCTTTACAGACCTGCGAAGGTCATAAATGCAAGGATTGGTCGTATAGTTACTTTTTCATCACCATTGTAACTGCGCACAGTCACTAAATGAGGCAGTCACTAAATGAGGAGTACCTGCACTGTAATTTCTGAATATATAATTGAGAAAATACAGAATAGTTATGACACACCAACAGGTCAAAAGCTTATTTGTCATTTCATTTTTAAGCATCTGTATTTAATGTGTCCTCTGCTGTATGAAATAATGAGAGTAAACGTCTATGTCTCTTAAGAAGTAGAAGTCCCTGGAGTAGAAGATTTCAGATTTAAGCCTTAATACTAAAAGCTAAAAATTAGAGATGGCAAGAAACAGGGAGGGTGTCAAAACAGTTGCGATGGCAACTGTGACCACGCAATTGAAACCCTCTTTAGGGTGTTCTTTAGCATGTGCAACATTCTTAAAAATGGAGCAGAGCATTCATCATGCAGTCATGGCTGCCATCTTGATTTTTTTGACACCATTCCTCTCCCCACCCTCCCCATCCCGTGATGACTGTGGTGAGAACTATTCCAAAATGTGACATTTGAAACATAATATTACATACATAGGCAGTTCTCGCTTAGCGACTGCAATTGGGACCGACAGGTCCATCGCTAAGCGCTGCAGTTGCTAAGCGGAAAATCATGTGATCATAATGGGGTTATGATCTCACTTCCCCTTCAGTCATTTAGTGAAATGTCACGTGACCACGACTTATTACTTCTGCCTTCTCTATTATCTCTGCTTGTTGCAAGCCAGTTGCGAAGCACACAAATGGCGATCACGTGACTGCGGGATGCTGTGATAGTTGTAAATGTGCGCAGTTTGCGAAGTGCCCGAATGGTGATCATGTGACCTTAGGATGCTGCAACAGTTGTAAATGTGAGAATTGGTCGCATAGGTTTTTTTTTTTTTACATGGTTGTAACTTCAGTTGCTAAATGAGGTGGTCGGTAAGTGAGGACTATCTGTAATGAAAATACAGAGCCTTGAAGGTCACAATATTACAGGTTCTCAGAAAAATGGACACCACGGTCGTATCAGTTGTAAGTTGATGGGCAAGGACTGCAACGATAATTGCATTATACATGGTTCCCTGAATTTTTATGGTTAAAGAGTGGGGTGAAAATCCTTCAAACAAATAAAAGTGACACAACATGCCTAGAAAGAGTTTGGTTTTTAATCTTACTCTAAGAGACTGTTTTTCAACCTTGGCAACTTGAAGATGTGTGGACTTCAACTCCTAGAATTCCCCAGCCAACACTGCTCGAAGGCAATGGGGGAAACGTATTTAATTGGTTTAGGCAACAGCTCAACAAGGGCAATAGAAACAGCATCAATTTGCTTTGGCACAGGGGGTCAGGGTGAGCATTGTAACCTTGTAGAAAGTCATGGATGCAATTTCCAGACGTTCTGCCATCACAATGGGGAAGGAATGGCCTTCTTCTCCACCTTAAATTCCAGAGTCAGGACTTCCACCAACCTTCTTTCTCATGTTAGCGAATTCCAAAATCGAATGATGCATTACGTAAAAAATATTTCCTTTTGTCCTGATTCTTCCAGGACTCAATTTCATTGGGTGGTTTCTGGTTCTAATATTTTGAATAAGGGGAAAATCGCTTCTCCTTATCTTCTTGATCCACACCATGCATAATTTGGTTTGCCTCAATTGTGTCCCCTTGATCATCTTAGTTGCCCTCCTCTGAACCTTCTCTAGCTCCACTATATCCTCTCTTTCAGCCTCACCTACTTCACAGGATTGTTTTGTGGAAAATTGGAGGAGAGAGTACTCTGTATACTGCCTTTTGATCTTGGGAGGAAGGCAGGTTTAGAGTAGTATAAAAGAGAAATACCCAACAGAAGAGAATATCTGTAGCTCAAGCTCTCTTCAGCTTGGTGGTTTGCTTGCAGACGTTTCATCACCCAACTAGGTAACATCAGTGTGAGGGAGGATGGGGTTTGCCGCCTGTTTATATACAGGAGGTTGCCCTGCCAGTTTTGGTGGGGGTGTAGTTTCCTGCAGAAACTACAATTCAGGCAGAAAACAAGACTAATCAAAGAACCACCAAGGAGGAAACTACACCAAGGAGGAAACTACTACATGGGTTTTGACCTAAAAAGCTGATGTAGTCGGATGAAGAGTTATTTCCAGAATTGTCTTCTCCAGCCAGATTTGACCTATTCTGTGCATCCTGGGAGAAACTGCTATCGGCTCCCCACTTCTGTGGAGTAGGGTGAGGTGGGGAACGCTGAAGCCCACAGGCATTGTTTTGGGTGCACTTCTGCTATGCAATAACCTCATCTTGGAAGGTCAACTTGCCCCCACACTTACTCTTTCTTTCTTTTCTTTCTTTCTTTCTTTCTTTCTTTCTTTCTTTCTTTCTTTCTTTCTCTCTCTCTCTCTC